ATATTGAGCATATCTATTAATCGATATGTCAAGTGTTTTTTTAATTTTTACCTACATCCAAATGGAAGTTGATATTCTTCCGAAAGAAAGCTATAACTTTTGATCGGTAAAAGATACAGATCTGGGGGTTGGTCTAGATTTGTAGATCTCGATATGGGCTATCTATTTCACTATTTGGAAGTTACGATTGGACTTAAATTCAGGTAACGGGGAACTGGACAAGTTTCTGTTCATGGGTTCCCTATGACAAACTTTACTTAAAGACTTGGTTGTTTCATAGTAAAACGTGCCCTGACTAGTTCTATTAAACGTGAAAATTACAGGTCTCTGTCATCGTTCTATCAAGAATTATAAAAATTCTGCCCAAGTGTCTTTTTTTTTGAAATGGATAATAGATTGTTGTAGAGTTCACCTGTGTATTATGTTAAAATGTAGTTGCCCCGACCAAAAAAAGGTGATCATTAAACTTACGTTAACTTGAGTATTGTTTTTTGCTAGATTTTTATTTATCTCTAAATGTAACATGATTGATAGACGACATGCACCGACGAAAAAAAAAAGAAGAAGGCGGATCTTGTCTAAAGTTTAGGTTTAACATTATGTTTAACGAGAGATACTCATCCGACCAAAAAAAAGGAGAAAAAAGGATTTCAAAGTTAAGATTAATGTGTTCATTTTATTTGAATTTTTTTTTTCAAATCTATTGTTCTCACATTCTACGGATGAAGTCATGTTTATTCTACGTGTTGATTTTGCCAGAAAAAAAATGCAGTTTTTCATAGGAAATTACCTATACAAGTACTTTAGATTTTCATCATTTTTCGAAATCTATTAAATCAACATACATTTTTTTGGGTCACAATTATTTTTCACGCTGTCGTCGGATGAACTAACAAATCAGAACACTAATTCGAGATCTGTTCCATGAAAATGGTATAAACCTGGTGGAATCACCTATTCATGAAAATGATTTTATTGACTTGCTTGTCCATGAAAATACTTTCGAATATCATTTTATGCTGTCGATGCACAAGAAGTGGTTGTTACATAAATCACAGTCTGAGTAGGTGAAAAGGAATCCTCTGCCTACTCAATGAAAAATTTTCCGTGCTGTCTTTTTAATTACAGTGACGAATTATAATTGATTTTTAAACATAAGAGATCGTTTCGCCGTTTCGTGCCTAATTAAAAAACCAATTCTGCCTAAGTTTAATTTTGCCTGTGACATATATATACTGAATAACAGTATACTATTATATAATCCTTATAAAGAACTAAGAAGTCATACTTTTCCAGTTCATTTAAAAGAAAATCTTTTTAGGATCATGAAAGATATGCTACACTTTGCTTTTCAGATAAAACATTCATGGACCAACCACAAGAATTACGTTATTTGATCCAAACAAGTGCAAATAGCATTGAAAGCAAGCTCGATTTTCTATTTATACATATATATTATCATTTTATTTGTCATAATTTTAACTTGCTTGAAAATCAAGTAATATAATAATATTTTTTTCATATAAATATCTGCTTTTATCGTTTTAGCAAAAGGAATTCGACGGTATAAAATTAACTCGTGCAAAAGACAACTGCTTCATATCAAATTGGATTAAAGATTCTACAAATTTTCGTATGGCAATGTTCAATGATGAAAACTTGCTTACTATTTCGGTTCTAGTAAGTACAATATTTTTTGATGTAATAGAACTAAATCCTATTATGAATTTTAGACTAATGATCTGACTGTTTTCTCAGCTACAGCTATAGTAATCGACAATTATGTCAATGAAATAAATGAAATCGAAAAACAATTTGAGTAAGACATTATTATGCTGCATCTAAAAACATTTGTTATTTTATAGATTAACAAACCATTTGGATCTGAGTAGAAAATTAAACACATTCATCGACGATATTAAAGGCAAAATGGGTGGTCATAAAACGTCCAATAATAGAAATGATACTCATTAAATTGGCACACGTCGTTCACATACAACTGATGCTCGTTGTCAACCATATTATGATGGTATACTTGTCTTTCTTCTTTTTATACATTTCTTATAACTATTTTATTTAGTTCGAAGACTTAATTTAGTTCCAGATGTTGCTACAAACTTATCGCATCATTATATACAAAATCAAAATTTACTACACAAAGCTAGTGGTAAAGATTTTTCAGACCTTTAACTCTTTTTTTGAAAGATTTAACTGAAGCAGCGTGTGTAAGTTTACGTGCACAATTGGATGTCGAAGTAACGTCATTACCATAAGGAAAAAGTGAAGCATCAAGAAAAGGTTCAAAACAAGTTCAAGAAAAACGAAAACCATTAAGATTAACAAATAAAACTGGTAAACTCTGATTTATTTATTTAATTTCTCTTATAAAGACTTCATTTTTTCTAGAACAACACATGGAAAATCTTCGGGTTGAAATGACTCATGCTGGTCGTGAAAAAAATTTAGCTTTAGCAAATGTTATTAAGTATGGAGCTGTTTCTCATGATGAAAAGGAAATAACTGAAACAGAACATCAAATCACTGAAGAAAATAAACAACAACAAGCTCGATTATCAAATAATATTATTGGACCAAATATTATTCATGAAATAGGTTTGCATTTATATACTTCTTTTATCAAAGAATACATGAGATTAGCTTATCTTCACTTGAGATCTATTTTAGACAAATGAGAATATGTATCTAATAGTCGAATGGCCATAGCTTCTGTCGCTCTTCTATTTCAATTTTGATCTAAAATCACAATATCGCAACTTTCGGAGAACTTTTTGAAACTAGATAATGAGAAAATGAAAATTCTATAGAGAGAAACTTAAATTTCATCTTCTTAAAATAGAACAATGAAAGTTATGTTTTTACTCTAAAAGATATTCGATCTTGATTCAGAAAAGCCATGAATACAAAACATTCTTAAGTTATTTGAGCCTTTTACAGATCCACTTAGAGCCAAAATATGCAGTCAAATGGTGTCGAATTGTTGAGTATATTTCCTAAGAGAAATGAGATCATCGTTATCGTCCATGTTCCATCACATATGTTCTTATTAGTTTTTTGTACAAAAGTAAAACATTTGCTTTTAGTTAGTCGACGGACTGGTATACCAACATCAGAATTATCTCAGGCACAGCATCATCGTTTATTAAAGTTAAATGAAAATTTACGTAAAAAAGTTGTTGGACAAGATGATGCTATTGATAGTATTACTAAAGTTGTACTTAGACATAAAGGTGAATTTTCAAGACAAAATCAGCCAATTGGTTCTTTCTTATTTTTGGGTAAGTTTATTTAAATAAAATAATTAAACTTTAATTTATATTTGTTTTTTGTAGGTACACATGGTGTGGGTAAAACTGAATTAGCAAAAACATTAGCATTAGAATTATTTGATTCAACCGAATCAATTATTTGCATTGACATGAGTAAATACACAGAATCTAATTCAATTGCTCGATTAGTCAGCGTACCACCAATTAAAAGTAGTTTTTCAATTGCTCAATTGATTGATGAATCATCAGATAAAAGTTATATGTGAGTTTTTCTTTGATTTATCACAATAGTCGATTTATTAGAACATGTTGGTTTTGAACAAGATGGTGAATTGACTGAAGCAATTCGACGACAACCTTATGCTGTTATTCTATTTAATAAAATTGAAAAAACTCATCCACAAATTTGGAATACATTATTACAAGTTTTAGATAATGGTCGTCTTGAAGTAAGTTTACCAATATAAAAAGTATAAGAAAGAATTTTGATGATCAATATTTAGGATGGAAAAGGTCAAACAGTTGATTTCACAAATACCATTTTTGTATTAACATCAAACATTGGTGCACAATATATCTTAGAAGAAGTTGAAAATCAATCATCATCAATAAAAATTTCAAATGGAGAATTATCTCAAACAATAAAAAATCCTATTATGAAAGAAGTTTGTACTTTAGGAGATTTTTATCTTGAAAATAACGTTTATCTTTCAAGGTTCGTTTATGTTTTCAATCAGAATTTTTCAACCGTTTGGATGATATTGTATTCTTTCAACCTCTTAATATTAATCAACTTTCATCTATTGTTCATCTTCAATTAAAATCACTTGAATGTTTGAAAGAAAAAGATATTGAAATTAATTTAACAGATAAAGCTATTCAATCAATTCTCAAAAAATCTTATAATCCAGGTATTTTATCAACCTTTGTTTAGAGAAGGTCGTTATTTTATTCATACAAAAAGACATTCCCTCTAAACTGACAAAGAATCTAAGAATAGAGCAAAGATTTATTGCATGAAATCGATTGTAATGTTTCAGAAATTAAAAATCCTAAAATCTATCATTAAAACAGTATTAATCAATTCCTTTGCTATGTCAATATGCATTTATTTCCTCTGTATTCGAATAAACGCATTTTAATTTAAGTTAAAATGTAATGAATTCAATCTGAATTGTTTTGTCTTTTTCTTTGAAATAGTTTACGGTGTTGATCCATTAAAACGTTATGTTGAAGAATATTTGAAAGAAGAACTATCCAAATTATTAATACAAACAAGATTTGCATCACCTAGTCTTGTTACAATCGATACTGACATAAATAATCGATACTTATTTCGTATTCAACATTTACAACGAACAACTTCAAATTCACCAAAAAAACTAGGATATGTTCGTTAGTATTAACACTAATCGTATAATTTAATATATAAATTTGTTTTCTTAATAGGTCATAGTACACATGAAGAACCAATGATCAATGTAGACGATGATGATGAACAAGAGAATCGATTTAGTGCTTATGAAGATGGCAATACATCACCTCGACGTTTATCAAAACAAATGAAACAATCACCAAGAATGAGAAAATGATTTTATTCAACTACTTATATCTTCATCAAGCAATAAAATGAACATTACAAACTATAAATACGAACTTTTTACTTTATTTTTTTCAATTACAATTCTTCTGCAATGTTGTTATTTTTTCTTTTTGTTAATAAATCTGATAAAAAAAAGTAGACTCTCTTTTGTTTAGCACAATACAATAGAAAGACAATGGTAATATTCTAAATAGAAAACGCAAATATTATTTTAAAAAATGACGTTACTAAAATTTGTTTTCCCAAGCATTACGCTTAATATCTAAAAATTGCCAATGGACAATAAATTAAATAAATATGTCTTTATACAATTTAGCGATAACGTTTTATTCATGTAAAGTATCATTATTATCGATAAAAATCTGTACATTGTTTGAAATACCAAGAGCTGATGGAAAAAAGTCTTCGTACAAGATGAAATGAGCGAAACAGACGATGTTTCGATCGGAGTTCATCATTATAATAGAGCAAATGAAACGAAAAAATTCAACACTGGTTCTTTCTGTCATATGCTCAAACATATACAAAACTAAATGATTAAGGATGAAGGTGTGGGCAATAGTATTATATTCGTTTCTCATACATCTATACTCACCCTCAAGATAGTATCCTTTCGACATGGTCTTGTCAAAATACTTCATGCACAATGGAATGTATATTCGAAATAGATGCTCTCATAATGAAGCAAGAAGAGTGTTTTTTTAAAAAGGCAATATTTCAACGCTACTTAAACGAAGACTATTGAAGCAAAATTCTCTTCGTTTTGATATCTAGTTTTTATTGGGAATCAATAATTTTGAGTATGTGCTTGAATCGAAATAAATTTTCGAAGGATGTAGAGCCGTCAACTCTTTTGGAAGAACGTTTCAAACAACGAGTTATTAGTTTAATTAATAACATTATTCAGTTAACTCTTTGAAAATCCTATAATCTTATTTTTTTCTTTAATTAAAGAAGAGCTTTATTTCATTAATAGGAAAAGAAAATCTTTGTGATTATATAAAGAATGTACAAACAAAAAAAAATCAGTTTAATACCGAATTCTTTTTAAGTTCCGCATTGACGTCGAACTCTTAAATGATTCTTCGGTAGGTTGTCATTTACCATAAATTGTGGTACCCTAAATCTATCGCTAAATTCAATCCACATTTGTGGATAATGAAATCGAAAAAAGTTAAAACTGGTAGCCAAGTAGTAATTTTGATTTAGGGATTTTTTTTTCCTAAAATACAATATACCAGACATATTGTAGTACGATGTCATCCTTCTTCGTCTACTATTTCTAATCAACTAGGATCAATTTTTCCAATCTACGAAGGATGTTGCAATACATCTGGTGACCAGAATGTATTTTAGATTTTAATGAAACATTTCTTCACGGTTAGCAACAGAAGCTCTTGTTTCGACAGTTGGCCTACGTACACCTTCTAATACTATAATAGTTTCAGCCATCAAGACATACACAAGGAATTTTCGAATTGTTTTGTAGATGTAGACTAAGTAAAAACTTGTTGCAGTTTTCAATCAACATAAAGCGTAAAACTTTATATTTACTTTTTAAAACTAAGTACCACTTGTTTGACTAGCATAAGAATCATTCTTTACAACACAAACAATGCTATCAGTCATATGGTGCTAAAACTTAATGCCCTTATCTTTTGATATATAACCTATGGTATGTTGACTCTTCATACAGTAAATCAACAAGAATTTAGTTTTAAAAAGTAAATATAAAATGTCACCACTAATCGCCATTCTACTAATCACAACCTTGTTTTTTTTTATGTAATATTTTATTATGTAATAGATTGCACAAAAGCTTTCATTCATTCCGCTCGTTATAAACGGTATCAATCAGACGGGCAAGCGATATACACACAAACTCAAAGTATTGTAAAACTAATGAGTAAGAGGTATTCTATCGATGATAATGTTATATGATGACACTAGGTGCAGCAAAAAATACCCAAACTTTACTATTTCGATATAAAATAGATTACAATGACATCATATCTACGTTCTTATTAGTCAGTTAAAATTAAAAGTATATTATATAATATTTGACGACTGACTAAAATGCGTACACCTTATGTGATGAATGTTAGGATAATATGGAATTATTATTAGGCTTATGACAGGTTCCCGTTCTATCAATTACTTGTTTTGTTAGATCTGGGTTCAGCAATTAGTTCTTTTGTCAAGAATAGTGTCTCATGAGTCAGAAATAATAAGATTAGATGTTTCATGACACTAGTTCTTATCAAAAGAACTGGATCATCGAACAGTGCTATTCCTTGATTAAGACCTGCATTACAGTTCTAAACATGATGCCTCTTGTGTTTGAAAAATCCCTAATTGGTCACCACTTTTGATATTATCGATTTCATTATCCACAAATGTGGATTTGATTTAGGGATAGATTTAGGGTACCACAATTTGTGGTAAATGATAGACATTCGACAAGTATCATCAGCAATAAATCGAAAAAAAAATTAAGCAAACTAATTCGTTCGATTTCTTTCAAAAGACGCAAGAAAATTATCGCCGAAACTAGCAAATCAAATAAAAGCAACTTATTCGATTGTCTACACTATGATGCTCGACAACTGTTGGGATAACTTAATCTAGAATCAGTTATGGGAATTCAATGATGAAACTACAATTGAATGCATCATAGTTAAGGCTTGCTAACTTTATCACAGAACTTGTATTCCAGGAAATGGAATAAATAACATGGAATTTCGAATAATTTCCGCATGACTCAATTCCGAGAATTCTAAAGATTACTGAAGTATTCGTTTAGTAGATGTTCCCCTGTGAATATACGGCAAAATTAAAGTTGATGTTCCCTACTATAATAAAGTGTTCCAGCTTTGGATATGATACATATCCAAAACTGAAACACTTTTTATAGTGGAGAACACCAGCTTTTATGTTATCTCATATTCACAGCTGAACACTTGCTAAACGAATATTGATTACTGAAACTTGATCAGTCTTATTTAAGGCTGTTGAGTCGAGTAATAATCAAGTTCTTGGAATTTGTGATTTCGACGACAGACCTACTTCTGTAACACCCAACATCTTGGAATAATGCGTCCTCTTGGCTGAGTTCAAAAGAAGGCAATGTTTTTATCTTTGTTCAGAGGATATCATCGATCGAATTGAGAGTAGCATAATGTATGGTTGAATTTTGCTTGCTTCTGTTATCAACTGAAAAATATGACTGGCAAGTTCAATTACATCTGAACCATTCATTTATTTATTTACTTTTTTTACCCTTTAATATAAATAAAAGCCCATGTCTATAAAGCTTAAATTCTAAAGATTAACTGTTCATACACGATATATTCTGTTCTTATTATAGTTTTTCCTTTTAAAGACTTAAAAAAAAAAGGTATTAACGTTGCAAGCATACGAAGATGTTATCCTATTGTGCCCGGCAAGGAACAGGACAGAACCAAAACGAGTTTTCTTTTTTTGTCCTGTAATAAACTTTGACAATGACATATAATATCGTACAATAAATAATGAAGGACAGCATCAATGTCCATCATATGAGATATGTTAAACGAATGAGAGAAACAGAAATGATAACATTCTTTGAATCATTCATTCATTCGCTATCAATCGATATAGACTATAGAAATATAGACCATTGTTTTTCATTGACGACATCGGTCACATAAAACAAATGAGTACATATGTATAAATATTCGCATTGACAAGTTAAGAAAATCAGATAAGTGAAGATAAATATGGAAAATTCATACTTTCAATTAAATGATTTACCTGATGAAATTCTGATGATTATTTTAAAAAACATGACCAATGTTACAGTACTCTTCTCTTTAATGGGTGTTAATAAACGATTAAATAAAATTGTACATGATGAAACTTTTACAAGTTATTTAACATTCTTGGTATGTTCGTCAGACAGTTCTGTTCATCCATATTGTGATTCAATAATTGATCGATTTTGTTTACAAATTTTACCTTCGATTCATCATAAAATTCAATGGCTTAATCTTGAAGCATCATCTATGAAGCGTATTCTTTTCGCTACTGATTATCCAAATTTAAGCGGGCTCGGTCTTTACAATGTAGACGATAAAACAGTGAAATATGTCTTTAATGGTAAGAAATTTCATGTGAATTGTTTTGATTCTGAATTATTTCGAAGGCTCTGAAAATAATATGATTGGATAGTTCACTAAATTATTAAGTAGACTTTTTAAATAAAAGTATCCGAAAAGAGAAAAAAACCATATAAATCTGAGTGTTTGCTCAAATGTTAGTATAGAGAAAGGAAGAAAAAGTTATTGCCATATTAAGAACGTTGATTTGCAGGCTAAAATAATCGACGCTCATGAAATAAGCAAGTATCTTTCAAGACTTTCTTTTAAAAACTTCGTTGTTACAAGATTCAAGTGGTCTTTCTATTTTGTTTTTCGATATTTGAAGAAAAGGAATTGAAAAAATATCTATGATAGATAAATATCGGATCGTTGATAGTACTAAATAATGATTTACGTAATATAGAAGACCAACAGACATGTACATTTAATAATTGTTAAAAATGAAAAAGATTAAGACTAAAGTTGATTTGTCTTTTATATGTGTTTAGTTGAAACTCTTTCATGTGGTATTTTCAAAAAACAGATTTCAAGACTTGTTATTAACGTTAATAAAGATAAAGAGAAAATATCGAAAAATATTATGGAAAATATACTAAATGGCATTTTCACTGTGTTTACCAATCTACGTGATTTAGAATTCGATGAGTTGTCACGTAAAAAACTGGTCCTATTAACATTGGATTTTTCTCCTGTGTTTTTTTCTTCAACTCTTTTGAAATGAACATCAAAGTATGTTATTTTCACGAGTGTCTTTATCTTCTTGATGGTCGTTTCAATCAATTACACACATTCTATGTTAGTATCCTAGCTATTTTACCCGTATGGTCAGAAATTAATCAGCAGGTTTGAAAAATAATCGATGTCTTTTTTCTTATTTTATCACATTATTTTGTTCTAGGTAGAATTACAAAATCTAAAGTGTTTTTCTTTATACTGTGAATCGGAAACCTGTTGTTACGATCAATTAATCGTACCACTTCTACATCGAATGTTGAATTTGGAAGAACTCGATTTATATCTTTATATAAAGCATCGTGTTCAAAGATTCATTGATGGAAATAATATGAAGAAGAATATTATCAAGCATATGCCACGATTAAACAAATTCGTATTTAACATACGTTCAATTCTTTCTCTTCAGAATCAAATTTATTTGCCATCAAATGAAGATATTCAACAAACATTCAGGGATTTTCAAGAGAATCAAATTATTTCTTCTGTTGATTATTTTTCAGAGGAAAGAGAAGGTCAGTGTCATGTATATTCATATCCATATACAATGCAACATTACCATGGTATTACAAATAATTTTTCTGGTGGATTATTCGAATATGTTTATGAAGTATCATTATTTGATGAACTTCCTTTGGAACATGAATTTTTTCTTCGAATTTCTCAGTCATTTCCGTTTATGACAAGATTATCTTTAACGAATAACAAGCCACAAAATGATAAATT